TCTCGATGATTTTGGTCTTCCTCCCCGTCTTCCTCTTCAAGGTGAATATGTACTGGGCCAGCACCACCCCCGCCACCAGGGCGAACACGCTGGCGCTCGCCACCGCGCCCATCCGCGCCACGGCCGCCCGGTCCATGAACAGAGTCTCGCGCACGTCCCAAGCGGAAAAGAACAGGTCGCGGGGCCGCTGGGGGCCCTAAGATGCACGAGCCTGGCGAACAGGCCGGGACGCCCCGCCCCCGCGCAGAGCACCAACCAAGAGCGCCTCGAGAGGCGGGGACTGGGGAAAGCGGGGGGCGTGGCCTGCGTCGGAGGCCTGATGGCCGGTGGGCCTGGGTGCGAGAACTGCCCAAGCACTGGAAAGGGAATTGTATTGTATTACTTGTCTGTCCCTGCTAATGAGGACCAAGCAGTGGTTCATTCTAGCCCCGCCCAATAGAAATACGATTCCAACCTTGGCTCATTCGGAAAGAAATCCTCCAACTTCCATCCTCCTCAGCTGTCCTGGACTACAACCCCCAGAAGGCCACGCGCGACCCAGCCTTCGCAGTTGCGCAGTAGCGTTGGCTGTAAAGTGTCGGGCGAACAGCAGCGCAGCGAAGGAAAGCAGCCGAGTAAAAAGGTGGCTAAGGGTATGTGAGAAAATATTTTCAAACCATGTACATGATGAGGGTTAGCATCAAGACTATGTAGCCCTGGTCAGGTACTCAGTGGGTTGGAGCAGCGATTTTCTACCCGTGTGACGCAAGAATTTTTAAAACATGCAATATACCTGATTAGTCAGGGACGCTGACTACTTTTCCCTTAGATTCTTACAAACAAACAAACAAACAAAAAAAACAACAAACAGCCAACATAACAGTAGCCCTCTGGTGTGAATGAATCAAAATGATACCGATTTTTTTTGGTCAGATTGGCAAAATGTATTTTTAGTGTGCCACAGAATTTAGTAATTAACTTATGCGTGCTATGAGATGAAAAAATTTGGACATTGCTGGGTTGGAGCATCGTCCTGGTAGCCCAGGCTTGTGGGTTTGATCCCAGGTTGGGGGACGGTCTATAAGAATTAGTCGATGAATGCATAAATAAGTGAAACAACAAATTGATGTTCTCTCTCAAATCAATAAACATTTTTTAAAAAGAATATACCAAGAACTCCAATAACTGAACAACAAAAAACAAATAACCCCATTAAAAAAATGGGCAATAGGCTCTGCCAGACAAATGGCCAATAAGGTTATGAAAAGATGCTCAATCATCACCAATCATCAGGAAAATGCAAGTCAACCCCAAAGAGATACCACTTCACACAGGATGACCATTTATAAAACAAAACCACAAAACAAACACAGAAAATAGCAAGTGTTGGTGAGGATGTGGAGACACGGGAACCTTGTTCACTGTTCATAGAAATGTGAATTGGTGCAGCCACTGGGGAGGACAGTTCCTCAAAAAATAAAAAATGGAGCGATGCTCTGATCCCGCAATCCCGCCTCTGGGGTTCCATCCCCAGGACCAGAAAGCGGGGGCTCCAGTATCAGGATTCCTGGGCTTCTCCGTGGCACCGCTCTTCGCAGGAGCAAAGATGTGCAACTAACCTACGTGTCCGTCAACCGATGAGCAGACCGAGAAAATGGGGCATATCCTTTCCAGGCTTAAAAAAGAAGGAAATGCTGCGAAGTCCCACCGTCAGGACGACCCTCACTGCATGGCCTGCGTTATTCCACTTACGGGAGGAAGTCCCGCTGTTAGAGACGGAAAGTGAGGGGCTGGGGGAAGAGGAAATGGGGGGATTGTTCAACTCAGCACTGCGTTTCAGTTTTGCAGGATGAAAAAGTTGTCGAGGAGGCCTGACTGGTGTGGCTCCAGCAAAGCGAAAGATCGCCAATTTGATCCCTGGTCGGGCACGTGCCTGGGTTGAGGGCTTGTCCCCAGGTGGGGGCCTGTGAGAGGCAATCGCTCTACCCTTTCTCCCTCCCTCCCCTTCTCTCTTAAAAAAAAAAAAAAGAGAAAAGCTCTGGGGCTCTGTTGCACAACCAAGGGCATATAGTTAACGCTGCTGTACAGTACATTTAAAAATGATAAAGTTGATAAATTTTATGTGTTTTATACCATTTTCTAGAAAGAGCTATGACAACAGGGCAAAGATGGCTTGAAGAGAGACGGTGGTCCTTCTGCTGCCGCTATGTTTTTCTGCTCCTAATTACCACATTTTCCAGCCTTTCCTCTTGGTGAGCAGCAGGACTTGCTCTCACCGGCCTGGTCTCTTTCAAGGGATTAATGCATATCCCCTTCTCGTTACTGGAGGTGACAGAGAGGGGATGCAGGGAGTTTCTTGGGGTGATCCCTCCAACTCTGTCCTACCTGGTGAGGCTTTCTCTTTGCCTGGGACAGGGAACAAGTTGGCAGGAGAAGGAGAGGGAAATTTATGGAAAGAAGTTCTTAGAAAGGTGGGGCAGGCCCCACCCGACCATGCATCTGCTGAGAAAACAAGGCTAGTGCTAACCATCAGGGGCAGAAGGCCCTTTTTGTGTTTTGTTTGGTGGACAGGAATGATCCTGACACTCATTTCACCTTCTGAGTCTGAAGTGATTTCAGGTACTAAGGATGAGTGACAGAATACAATAAAAGATGCCTCCATTGCTCTTTTTTTAATAAAGATTTTTTTATTTTTATTTTTAGAGAGGGGAAGAGAGGGAGAAAGAGATGGAGAGAAACATCGATGTGTGGTTGCTTCTTGGTGCACCGCCTACCAGGGACCTGGCCCACAACCCAGGCCTGTGCCCTGACCAGGAATGGAACTGGCGACCCTTTGGTTCGCAGTCCGGAGCCCAATCCACTGAGACACACCAGCCAGGGCAGTCATTGCTCTTACTGCTTGTGAAATTCCAAGGGTTTTGGGAACTGTGAGCCAGGAACTGTAGACTAAGTCCAAACATGAGAAATATGTATTTAGCCATCTGAGTAACCAAATACATATTTCTTATAAATCACAGTGTCACAGAAGGACCAAGGAAACAACTGAATTGTGGTAGAGGAATGGTTAAATGAAATCAGCACATTCACACTTAGGACTGCTGTGGCCATTTAAAGCTCAAAGGAAGCAGTAAGATTGCCCAGGTATAGAAATTGAAAAGAGGTCATAGGACAATATTCAAAGTGTTATTCAGTTATATAAAACTAGTAAATGTGTGTTTGGTAATGCATTTTAAAAAATATTGGGAAGGCTATATATCTAAAACCATTATAAGTAGGTGCTCATTCTTTACTGTATAATGGCTCTGAACTGGGAACATTTTATGAGCATGTATTACTTTTATAATTTTAAGTTTTTAAAATCCTCACTTGAGGCTATGTTTATTGATTTTAGAGAGAGGGAGAACAGAGGCAGAAAGAGAGAGAGAGAGAGAGAGAGAGATCTGTTGCCTCCCATATATACCCCTACCAGCAATTGAACCTGCAACCTAGGTATGTTCCCTGACCAGGAATCGAACCTGCAATCTTTTCATGTACAGGACAATGCTCCAACCAACTGAGCCACCCAGCCAGGGCTTAAAACAGTTTTGAAATGTTTGCAACACAGCAGTCGAAGAATTTGAGGACATGAGTGAGCAGGGAGGATGAAAGGAAGAAGATCCCCAAGGAAGCAGGAATACGTAATGATAGCTTAGGTAGTAACGTAAGCAGCTAACTCAGCAATAGAAACGTGTCACACTGTGTTCTAAGTGCTTTACAAGTATTGAGTCAATTCTTGATGACTGTGTGAGGTAAGTATTGTCCGTCAAGGCAATGGAGACAACAAGGAGGGTCAAGCAGCTGGCCCAATCTGATAGGCCCAACCTGACTGAACCACTGTATTAATTTTCTATTGCTGCATAACAAATTACCACAGGATGGTTTGAAACAGCAACCAATTATATTATCTTACAGTCCTGTAGGTCATAATTCTGGGCGGGTTCAGCTGGGTTCTCTGCTAAGTGCCTCCCATGACCAAAATCGAGATGTCTGCAGGGTTGGGCTTATATCTGGAGGCTCTGGTGAAGACTATGCATTCAAGGTCACTGGGGCTGGAAAAACTGAAACCCCTTAGCTCTAGGAGTGAGTTCCCCGTTTCCTTGCTGGCTGTTAGTCAGGGGCCTGTGAATTAAGAGTTTGCCGCAAGTAGTGATTACAGTCTGCGGCGTCACTTGCAATGCGGCTCCTCATCTTTACCTTTCAAGTCAGCAATGGCATGTGGACTCTTTCACCGGCTTGGAATGGGTGAAAACTGGAATTTTACAGGGCTCTTATGATTTGGTTAGGAACACCCAAGCAATTTCCCTCTCCTTGTGCTTGTAACAGTGATCAAATCATGACAATAAAATTCATCACCTTAACAGTCCTGAAAATTGGGGGAGAAATTTTGGGGCCATTTTAGAATGCTGCCTCCCATAACTGTGGTGATGGATTGGAAGATCAGTGGGTTGATAGGCTGTCTGTGTGAAGGGAGGTCTGAGGGCTTCTAAAGCTTTCCTGGATATAACTGGAAAAGCTCAGCTTGAAGGGAGCTGTCTGAGGATGAACTTCATGGACTCAGTTGAGTTTGGAGATGATGAATTTGTGGGGGCACCAATCTACATAGCTGTGTGATTATTCTCTAGCAGGGTGGGTGCAGGGGCAGAGGAAGTTTGAGGATCTAAGAAAGTTGGGCAAAAGGACCACAGATCAAGGGTGAAGACAGGCTTAAGGGATAGACTCTGGAACACTGGCCAGAAACAGGAGAAAGGGGACCAGATGAGGCAGCAGTGATGGTAGTTAACCGGTAGGGGCCACAGGCAATGTCCAGATTCCAGCTAAAGCAAGAAGTGGAGGAAGGCTCCTGTAAGGCGGAGAGAAGGCTGAAGAGTTTTCATAATTAAGCCTTATGTACCTTTTAAATTTCAAACACACTCATGTATTATTCAGAAATTTAAAAAAAAAAACACATTTGAAAAATAAATAATGACCTTTTATTATGATCAGCAACAGAGGAAGGTCCAGCCTGCAGTCTGGGAGCTCAGCAGCCTCGCCGTGGAAGGTGACGGCGCCTGGAGGGGCGTCCTCAGAGACCCCCTCAGTCCCGCCGCCCTGCCATTTCTCAGGAATCGCCAACCCCAGTGACCAGCAGGACGACACTGCAAGAGCTTTCCTGCCAGAAGTTGGCAGTTGTCCTGAGCGAGCACCTGGGAGGGTGCGAGTCCCGCTCCGCTGGCCACACCTTCCCTGGAAGGTAGGCGAGAACACACGGGTGTGGCACCAGACACCCTCCTCGGTGTCCTCTCTGACCCCACGGTCCCCTGCTCTTTGGTCCCTGTGTCTGATCTCCCAGATGAGGGTCTGAACAAGCCTAATTCCCGTCAGTCTGAGTCCGAGCTCTCGTGTGACTTGGAAGACTTATGCTTTCGTTTCTTCTTCTTCTTCTCTTTCTTCTTTTTCTTATGCTTCTCTTTCTTCTTCCTTTTCTTGTGTCTCTCCTTACCCTCTGAGGAGCTGGAGCTGCTTCCATCGTCATCTGAGGTGGAATCTTCCAATAGTTGCTTTAACTGCTGTATCCTAAACAGATAAGATTGGTCAAAGGACTATAAACCATAACTTAAATTTTTTTTTTAAGATATAAGATTAGTAGTGAGGGTAAGAAAAGTCACAAAATAATCATCTCATTAAGCACAGTGCTTATTTTTATTTTTGCATGTTTTCTCCATTCTTGTCTCTGTCCATGGCTTTTTCACAGGACTGTAACCAGCATACCAGCATTCTGTGTTCTTTTCATTGTCCTAAATATTTCTGCATGCAATATCCCTACTATTATAACTTCTTTTTTAAGAATGTAAAAGTTTACAAAGACATATAATCTTCATAGTCTACCCTTACTTTGGTATCTTTTTTTTCAGTTTTATTTTTTATTCTTCTAAAAATATTTTATTGTTTATGCTATTACAGTTGTCCCCTGCTATTATAACTTCTAACAGATACATACTTTCTAGATCATTCCTCCACTGCTCAAGTTCATACTAAGTAATCTACCTCCTCGAAACCACTCCTCTTATTCTGGAATGGTTGTTTCCCACCTAATATAATATAAAACTTTAAGAGGATATTGTTATCATCAGGGGAACCTTACCTTATATCCTTCTCATGTCTTTTATTCTCTCGTATGATGTCATACATGGGATCTTCATGTGCCTTGAAGATTAGACAAGGTTAAGGTTTGGTTAGGCTTAATAGATTGTTAGTTAAATTAAAATTAAATCCCTGTTTCACTGAAATCAGCACCGCCACCCTCATTTGGTGATATTTTATAGGTTTTTAAAGAATTTTTTATTATAGGTTCTGATCCTTCCTGAGGGTCACCAGTACTTCAAACTCATGGAGGGTATTACAAAGATTTTCCAATTATACAAATATGGGATGATAATTTAAATATCCTTTATAAGGAAATAAGCCCAATAAAGTCATTAATAAATACTATTCAAGGTTAGAAATATTGAGGTAATTCTCTTTCTCTATGTGGACAGATGATGAAAAGATATAATTAAAACAAGTGAGTTGGAAAATGATATATAAGAATGCATGGGTAGGTTTAACAAATCGACATTTCTTTCTCAAATCAATAAAGTAAAAAAAAAAAAGAAAAAAAGAAAAAAAGAACGATTTATTTATATGTGCACAAAAACATGTGCCAAAAAAGAAGTCTGACAGTGTACTCATCAAGCTACTTCCTATAAATTCCCTTTGGGGAGAACAGCAAGATTGGACTTGAAAAATCATTTTTAGAAAACCATATTTTAATGCTTTCATTAGGTTAAAATAAGGCAAATGTAGTCTTGTAATTATCTATATAATTTAAAATAACTTAAAGTACTTAAAAATATGAATGTACATAGTGTGAATTTTATCGTATGTGAATTATCTTTGAAAATTTTTTTTTAACAATTTTACATATTAAGTTAAAAATATCTATTACCTTACCACTTAGGGATATTCACTTCTAACAGTTTACTGTGTTCTTATAGTCATTATTATAATTTACAAAAAATTATAACCATATTATTTTAGTCTCTATTCTCTTTTTCACTTATGTTTTCATGAACAGCTTCACATGACACTACACCTTCTTCTAAAACATAATTCTTACAAGCTACATGGTTTCTGTGTGTTCAGTAATTTATGTTGGTATGTTCCCCATTGAAGTTGTCGCTGATTTTTCTTTAGTTTCTATTTTTTAATCATATAAATAATTCTGAAAGTCATCCTTCTATATTCATAAAAATTTGTATATGTTGACGTTCTGTTTTATCCTTAGGATCAACTCTTAGTATTTAGATTTCTAAATTTAAAAAATAATGAATATGTTTAAGTTTTTGAGATTTACCACCAAATTATCTGTTAGAGGAGCTATAAAAATTGATCCAGCTATCAATGATTTATCCAGATAAATAAAGCACAATATTTTCAATGTCTTAAAAATCCCAGGAGAATCTTTGTGGACCCCAGCTTGATATATGCCAATAATCCCAATATACTTGATACACATAGTGAAATTGGCTGAAACGGTTACTGAATAGTGAATTTTAGCAGTTACTGAATGGTGAATTAACACCCCTGGGAGGGGGCTCTGTTAAAATAAAGTGAGGAAATGACTCTATTTTACTGTTATCTAATGGGGACATATCATTTACACACACTTCCAATTTATAATAGAAAGATAATCTCATCTGTAGACAAAAACGGGAAACCAGACCTTGGTTTTTTTTTTTAATGAAATATGATTTTTTAAAATATAATAAATAAGTGGATAACAGTGTCTGCCTCAGAAAAAGAATCATTTCCCAAGGCAAAAGCAAATAGCACTTCAATAAGAAGTTAGTTTTTTGTTAATGTAACTAATCTTTCACAAAGTCAACTTAACAGATACGCAGTTAACACCAGATATTTTGGCCTAAAGGTTTCTGTGAATATATTTTCTGTGAACCTCCAGTTCACTTGTTGACTGTCTGATTCATGGATATTCACCATTGTTTGTAAACATAAATTGACACTCTGGGGTTTTACTTACTACTCTGAACTGTTCTAACTTTTGGTTGCCTTTGATAAAGAAAGGGCATTCTTTGTCGCCCGTTCGGTGACCATACCGTTTACAACGCCAACCTAAAAACAAAGAAAAAGGGGATATATTTTTGTAAGATAATGTATTTTTACTTAATAAGATAAAGTATCAGTAGCTCATATTAAAAGTATTTTTCATTAGATTCCAATTTTAAAAGCAAATGCAATCAGTGGAGGAAACATGTATGATCCAGAAAATAGAGGGAAGCTAATTACTTCCTCAAGCATCCTTTAATCCTGGAATTTTAGAAATGAGCCAAACACTTACTAAGCAATCCCATGCAAAAAGCAAAGTGTAATTTCATTTTATTTTTTAACTGTGTGTTATAGGTTGAATTGTGTCATGCCTCTTGACCCCTTCCCCCCATTATGTTGAATGTCCTAACTGCCAGTACTTCAGAATGTGGCCTTACTGGGAGGTTAAGGTCTTTAGGGAGGCCCTCAGTGAGAACCAACGCTGATGGCACCTAGATTTCAGCCTTTTCGCTGCTGGAACCGTGAGACAATGATTTCTCTGGTTTAAGTCATTCAGTCTGTGGTACCTGGTTACGGAAGCCCTGGCAATCTAGAGAGGCATCAGTTCTGACCAAGGAGTCAGGAAGAGGGATTATAGCTAAAATCAGCTAATTCTGCTCCATGCTGGCTGCTACTGAAAATATGTAGCGACAGGAAATTAATGCTTTTCCCTTTCTGAGAGTTGGTAGTGGGAAACCATTGGAAAAAATGAAGTTTAGGGATTCTTGATTGCCATGTACATGCTCCGACCTTACCGCCCCACTATTTCCTTCCACCTGGGGAAGAAGGAATGCACTTGTAATGCAAATGCAGACCCCTTAAACAGATGCCCGCCTTTATGACAAAGATGGAGGGATGGTCCGTGCCATGGACAGATGTGTGTGTATCAAGGATCCAGACTATCTGTGATCAAAACTCTGTTAAAGGAAAGGTGGTCCTTGTAACTCAAAGTGTGGTTGATGGGCCAGCAAGTCCCGCATCATGTGGGAGTCTGTTAGAAATAGAGTATCAGGCCCACCCTAGGTGACCCTAAGTAACACTTAGATCACTGAAATCAGTAAGATGAGAACAGGGGTTACATGTTTTTTCTCACCTGGGATGGATCCATGTTTTGCGGAGCCTGAAGCTTAGATAGCCTAAGGGGAGTAGGGTTTTTAGGGAAAAGAAAAATCTTGCCTCTGCAAGAAAGGAGCATATGAACTCATCATTGAGAATTCACAGGCCTTTAGAAGGTGCAGGTAAAGGGCCCTAAAACTTAAGCTTCATTAACTTCATGGTAAAGCTGGTTCTGGTCCTAACCAAACACTCTTAATTTGCAAGTCAATGAAAACAACTATAAAAGAGTAAGTGAAACACAACTAATCACCCCATTAAACAGAAGAGTGGTTTATAAACTTAAAAAAAAAAGTGCAGTGGACTTCTGGGTAAAGATGGCAGACTGAAACAGTAATTTATTTTCATTCCCTTCCTGATAATCCCGTAAAAATTACAACAAAGACAACACCTTTAAAAAGGCATGAACCACAAGGACAGGGAAAATAGTAAGGGAGACAACAGTGAAAAATATTGGAAGTTAGAATGAAGGTAAGCATGTGCAACATGAACAGCAGACCCCAGGAAACTAAATTCTAAGCCAGTGGGAGGGAGAACTGAGAACCAAGTCAGTTTCAATTTGTAGAACCCCTCAAAGCTCAGGAATTGGTAGCATCCTTCTAGAGTTGAAGGGGTAGCTTAAATAAGGGAGATTGAATCTCCCCAGCCACAGAACAGGAGGTTCATTCTCTGGAGAAGGTGAAAGCAAGGTCTCTGGCTGTGGAGACTCCAGGCCTGTTGGGAGGCAAGGTGCTACAATGGACACAGGAAGAGGAGGAGGGTGCCTGAATGCTGCTGATGAGACTTCACAGCCTTACTCCTCATGTCGGGTCCCAGGACACAAGGGTGTGGCCTTCACCTTCAGCAGGGAACGACTTTTCTGTTAACCAGCCTAAGGAGAAAGACTCAGAGATACTGATCTCAGAGGTTATTGTTTACAACAATAAAATAAATATTTTGTTATCTGTTAACCAGCGCAGACAGGTCACCCTACAGTGAGATCCAGTTACCAATCTCTACTCAAAAGTGAACTCTGCCCTTCTAAATTTCTCACTCCTGGACAGGAGTCAGGGTGGTACCAGCCTCCAAGAGGACTCTAGAAGGCCCACGGCCAGACATGCACACCCTCAGGCAGGCCCCTGGCACAGTGAATAGGCCTCAGCTGTGTAAGCAACAGCATTACTATGGAAATGACAGCTTGTGATTCCTGAGGCTGGGCCATAAGATACAGCATGGCTTGCACCTTGCTGTCTCTTGGATCACTGGCTCTGGGGAAAGCCCACTCTAATATCTAAGATAAAACACTCTTACAGAGAAGTAGAGATATGTAGCAAAAACTGATGGTTTTATATAGTAAGAAGTCAACTGATAAGAAATCTGAAAAATCAAGGGGCAGGAATACAGGGGTGAGCAAAAGTAGGTTTATAGTTGTGAGTACATGAAAGAGTTCATTCTTGTATTTATTATTTATTAATCATGGTATTATTTATAACTGTAAATCTACTTTTGCCCGCCCCTGTGTAATCATGTTATTTAGATAGGATGGAGCTAAGCTTCAAAATAACCTTAAGAGAGGTTCAGGTGGTTACCTTTGAGGTGAGGGGAATGGGGGAAAGGAGCTGGGAAAAGCTATTTTAATTATGTGCATGAAGAATCTCTGTAGAAACAAATGTCTTTAAAAGGCTGCAGGACCCTTTCTTCAAATGCCAAAGGCGCTGCTGCCCTGGAGGGGCAGGGGGTGGGGGATGTGCGCGCAGAGCTCTGCCAGTCCCAAACCCACCCTCTGTGGCCTGTAGCTCCCCTCAGCTTCCGTGCAGAAACCTGAGCACCACTGAGGGAGGGTGGCTGACTGCGGCAAGACCCACAGGGACCTGCCCCCCAATGCACCCCTGGGCCTCACGGCATTACTACGCGGGAGAGCCTTGCTGTTGCAGGAATGTTACCGCAGAGGGCGCCCCGCGGGCAGCTGCCATCCTGTGGAAAGACCACCGCACTTGGAGGCAGAAGCCCTGGAGTCACACCTCTGCTGCACCGGTAACCTCGGACCGCTTACTGACACAAGGAAGTTGGTGTCGTTATCTATAAAACAGACCATGCTGACATTAGCAGCGCTGTGATGAGAGCGAGGTTAATGTGCTTCGTGACTCGTGGGCTATAACTTGCGTGTGTTCAGGAGGACTGGACGCACTTCCACACTCACATTGCATAACTTTGACCTCCTTCCCCAGCGGCATCCAAAGTCCTTTTGTCGGCGCGTGAGCCAGAAACTCCCTGGCATGTTCATTGCCCGGTACATCTGGTATACAGTCTTCTGGCCTGGTCTCATCTTCCTGAAACAGGAAACAACGTGTAAACAATATAGTTATGAGCGCCGGAATTCTCTCCCACCTACGTCAGAACACAGCATCTCTGGCTTCCTCGGGAGGAGGGGCTTCCATGGTCATCATGACTTACCCTCCCAGGCGCTGGAAAGACAAGTGAGACGGGACAGACAAATGGAAATAACTGCACCAGAAGAATTACGTCATGAAAACGAAGCAGCTGTTCTTGGAGAAAAGTTACTAGTATTGTTCACTAGTAACACAGAAGTCATGTGCACAGAAATGATTTGTGAGCTCCAATTTCTGATTCTAAGATTACAACAAGTTTTCTGCTGACTTAAAAGCTTTGTGGAATGAGGCAAAGTATAGGATTAAACAAGGAAGGTTTCCTGGAATAATAATGTATTAAGTTAAAATGGATTCTACTTTGAAAGCCACTGCCATGTTTTACAATCTCACACATGCTGTATTTATGAAATGTATTTTCACCACCAAATAATTGCATTATACAATTAAAATGATTTTTTTAACTTTTTGATTTATTTTTACATTTCCATGAATATTAAGTTTATAATGATTTGTTTTTTACAATTAAAACTTAGCAAACAAAAGGCTGCTTTGGCCTTTAACCACTCCTCTGAGCCCCACTGCCCCAGAGACGGGGACCCGGGCCAGGCTGCTGGAGAAGGGGCTCCTGCACCAGGGGCTCGGGGCTGGGCTGCTGGTCAGAGGGTCTGCTGGTCTCTGAGCTGGTGACACTCAGGGGACCAGCACCGGTGCAGAGTCAGCACCGGGACAGCAGAGCTTGGAGGGGGAGAGAAGGGGAGTGACGATGGCTGAGGAGCACACGTGGGCCTGCCCTGGTTTCCTAGGGAACAGACACTACGCTGATGAAATTTCTACAAAGGAATGGACCTGTGACAAAGCCCGAAGTGTATGACTGGCATCTGCAGGGAAGAAACAGGGTCATCATGAAAAGAGGTTCAAAACCACAGGCAGCTGTTTGCATAACAAGTGACTGAGTCTGAGTACTGAGTCTAATACATCTACGAGGATAACCACATGGATGAACTTCACACTGACCTTGATAAGCCCAGGAGGAGGTTTCTCATAACTAGAAAAAAACAAAAACAAAAACCACCATCAACCATGTTAGCAGGAACATAACACATTTTATTACTATTTTTTAATCCTCACCTGAGGTTATGTTCATTGATTTTAGAGAGGGAGAAGGGAGGCGGATAGGGGAAGGGGGTCGGGGGCGTGGAGATAGTGGGGCGGGGGAGAGAGAGAGAGAGAGACAGACAGACAGACAGACATCAATGTGAGAGAGAAACATCTATTGGTTGCCTCTTGTATGACCCCTGACCTGGGATCAAAGCCCTCTGCCTTTTCATGTATGAGACAATACTCCAACTGAGCCACCTGGTCAGGGCAAACAGTATATTTTTAATAAAAACTTAAAAGTATGTGTTATATCTAAAAACAGTTAATAAAATATGTCCAGCACCCAAGAGATCACAGATAAATAAACTGATGCTATACCACATCCTGCTGAGATCTAGAACTTAAATTCACTGAAACAGTAACTAACTTGATGTCTTAGCACAATTACATCCTTTTATTTTCAGAAGGGAAAGCAAGAGATGACAGGGAAAATGTGAGGTAAGAAGACCCATGAATTGATTATGGTTCCAAACTGTTATAGTTGTCAGGTTGTTGACCTAGCATAACTTTCACTTACTCAACATTGAATAGGGTAGCTCCTAAAACCTTTTTAACAATGATTAAATATTTTCCTCATCCTGACCCTGTTCTTATGCACCAACTTTAAAGACCATTTAAAAGAGAGTAAATATGAGGGTACAGTGGTTAGCAAGGATTGGGTAAGGGAAAAGTGAAATGCTTCTCCTGTCCTCTAAGATGTGAATGAAAACACTTTGGCAATGTGATACTCTGATTTATAATAAGAAATACATAATTTGGTCTTTATCCACTGCCCTTGGTACAGAGCTCCTAAAACCCTTGTAACTCTTACATGAGAGCCATAAGGTCATCTTTTGCTGTAGTATTGAATTTTGTTCCCAAATTTTGATATAGCTCTAGAGCAATAAAGGTGATTCTTTTTGTTATTTATAACAAGCTCTTTTCAATGAAACCGAGTTTATATTAATGCTGTGACTTTTAGAAAGCTATGGATGGGGGCTGGTTGCCAGGGGAACCAGCCAGGTGATTAGAGGATGGGCCTTTCAGGCCAGTCTCTAGGGTGGTTGAATTAATCGCCGATGCCAAAGATTAATGAATCATGCCTATGTAATAAAGCCTCTATAAAATCCTAAAGGTTGGGGTTCAGAGAGCTTCAGGGTTGCCAGACCCTGGAGAGGGCATGGCTGGGAGCTCCACACCCCTTCCCATGTCCCTTGCCCATCTCTCTCTTCCATTTGGCTGTTCTAAGAGCTACATCCTTTTAAAATAAACCAGTAATCTAGTAAGTGAAATGTTTTCCTGAGTTTTATGGGCTATTCTAGTAAATTAAAATGCAGGAGGGGGTTGCAGGAATCTCTTATTTATAACTGATCAGAAACACAGGTGACAACCTGGATTTGGTGATTGGCACCTAAAGTGTGTGTGGGTGGGAGAGACTTGTGGGACTGTTTCCTTAACTTGTAGGTTCTGATGCCCTATCTCCAGGTAGACAGTGTCAGAATTCAGTTAAATGTGTAGGACATCCACTGGATGTCCTCTGAGAACAGGAGAGTTGCTTGTTGGTGTTGGAAAACCCCCATGCAGCTGGACCACAGTGTAGTGTTGTAAGTGTAATCTGGGTGTAGAGGAGAACAGGAGTGTTTTTTTCCTCTTCAATGGGTGATGGATGAGAAGGTCCATGAGCAGCCATAGCAAGAAAAACTTCCCTTTGGGTTTCTCTCTGGACCTTTCCAAATGAAGAGTGTGATGGAGGCTTCTCTGAGCTCATTCTCATCATCCCTAATCCAGAGCTTTTCTGAAGGGACAGAGGAGGAATTATTCCCTAAAGATTACACAGTAATGGACAACAGTGTGGTAGGGGGCCTAATGGGGTTATATGGTAATGGAAAAAATACAATAAAAAAATAAATGATTTTTTAAAAAGTGAAAAAATAAATAAAATAATTTACATTCCCTTAAAAAAGAGACTGCATGGTAAGTAACTTTTTATGTATGCTGTTTTCCAAAGCAAATACTGAGAATATTTCCAGTGGAAAGCTGTGGCATGTCTTAAGCCTAGACTTCTCTTAGCAGAAACAGTTCACACAAAGTTGGGAAGGGGATGTATTTCACCAGCAGCTAGTCCCTAGAAAAAAATAATGCTGTGCTTTATGCAAGGGAATCTGTAAGGGAAGTGGTCAGTCTATGTAAATATCCCCACAACCCAGTGATAAAGAGTAAGGGAAACTTTAAGCAAACAGAATCAGTTGGGGAGGGTTTCTGGGAGGAGCTAGGGCTTATGGAAATGCTGGTATACTCTTTGACACCAGGAGGACCCTACAAGAGAACCCTGCAGGAAGAACTGTGTTTATAATAAAGCTCTATGGTTCTACGTTCTCTTTCCCATAATTTCCACTTCTCTTCTATAAAAACCCCTCCAACTTGGCATGCAGGCCACAGTGTGCACGTGGCTTGCAACCCTTTCCTTGAGTAAATTCTTTTTGGTGACAAAACACTTACTTGATGTTTTTCAGTTCACTCGAACAGTACTTTCTTTTTGCCATAGGAGCTGTACAAATAACATATGGCCAAACAAGCTAAGATCCAAATTCCTGAACAGTATGTAAATGTTTTTTCCTAGATGGAAAAGGAATCGGATGGAACTGCATATTTTGAAATCTATTATTATTAGCAATGGCTTTCCCTAAAAGGTACATTTTCCAACTGTTTTCACAAGATTAAAGGCACATGGTTAGTGTTTTTTCCTAGGGCTAAAGAACTCCTTAGTTTATGCAGCATGTTAAAAAAGATATTTCTTCAAAAGTAAGGTAATACTTAACTATTAAAAATAACAGATTTGGCCTTGGCTGGTGTGGCTCAGTAGATTGAGCACCAGTCTGTGAACCAAAAGGTTGCTGGTTTGATTCTCTGTCAGGGCACAGTCCTAGGTTGCAGGCCAGGTCCCCAGTTGGGGGCATGGAAGAGGCAACCAGCTGATGTTTCTCTTACACATCAATGTTCTTCTCCTTCTCTTTCTCTGAAAAATAAATAAAATCTTAAAAAAAAAAAATTGAAGTGGGAATGGTAGTGCACTGTTGCAGTTGAAATGTCTCCATTATCTTTGTAGCTAATCCTTAGAAAATAAATAATGGTGGAGACCCATTATTTTGTACTATCTGTGATGCCTTAGATTTATATCATTCAAATTCTAGTAAGTTGCTCTGAACAGTAGGAAGACTAAATTTTAAAAAATAAAGAGCCCTGGCTGGTGTGGCTCAATGGATTGAGCACTGGACTGCAAACCAAAGGGTCGCTGGTTCAATTCCCAGTTAGGGCACATGCCTGGGTTATGGCCCAGGTCCCCAGTAGCGGGCACATGAGAGGCAACCACACATTGATATTTTTCTCCCTCTTTCTCCTTCTCTTTCCCTCTCTCAAAAATAAATAAAGTTTTTAAAAAAGAGAGACTAAATTTAGATAAGAGAAGAAAAAATTATCTTCCCTAGTGGGTATGGGAGAAGAAATCTTTATTTTGGCAAGTACTTAAAAATATTCTTTGGATTTTTGCGTGCTGGGGTGGGACTTCTTTTGGAAGAGTCCTCATATAAGTATGCTCTATTCCAGTCCTTTCTGCAGCTGGCTCCCAGGGGCTGGAAGGCAGAGACAACAACACTGCCTCATACACACAGAGCCTCCACTCTGTCTCCTGGCAGCCCGCGAGCGCTGGAGTGACAGCGCTGGAGTGTGAGAAGGCAGAGGACTCCAATGCCTTAGGGGCCTGGTAGGTATGGTCAAAGGGTAAGAAAGGTTAGACTGTATTAAAAGACCAGAGGAGTGTGAGGGGAACGAAAAAGGGCTTGCCAGCTTTTAAAGGGTTTGAATTTAATTTGTAAAATACCACTATGGGGCTTCCCATTTAATATGGCCTGTTGACCAACTTACTTTTCTGCCTTCCTTTCCCAGACTGTCTTTAAATGACAGTAAAGGAATAAAAAAGGCAAGAAGCCACAAAAATCCTTGGAGGAGATACTAGTAGAGAACAATTCCAAGACAGAGCTGTGAAGACAATGGGAAGTAGAAGAAAGTAACTGATTTCTTAAGGTGGAAGAAGTTGCAACCTTTGGAAGACAGGTGTTGGGAGTAGGAACCCTGAATTGCTAACTGTATTCTTCCCCATTGCCAGGAGACTCTGTCTGCCCTCACCCTTCAAAGACTCTACAGGTTTAGTTGCCTGTGAAACTTAACTGCAGAGGCCCCAGATATATGGGAATATTAGGGTGGGGATGAGGGTGAGCACTGGCTGAAAAGAGTTAAGTCTTAGTCTGAACTCTGGAACCAACCCCGGCCCACCCCCTGCTGCCATCCAAATGGCAGCCAGCCATATTTCTGACACCCAGGCCTGAGAATGGGAGGTTCTTCTTTGGCTGAACAGGTCCCAGAAAAAAACTCCAGCTCCTGATATGTGGGAACCTCCCCATGAAAAGGGCAGATCACTGTGAAATTTACAGCCACCCTGACGTCCCTACTGTGAAATTTATAGCGAGCAAATCAGCACCTCTACATACTCTCTCAACAGCCCCATATCAGAACGGAACAACTTTATAATGCCCCCCCCTTTTTTTTAAGAGAGAGGGGATGGGAGGGAGACAGAGAAGGAGAGAAACATCGATGTGACAAAGAGACACTGATCAGTTGCTTCTTGTACAGGCCATGACTGGGGACTGAACTTGCAATGTGGGCATGTGCCCTATAACTGGGAATTGAACCAGCGACCTTTCTCTTTGTGGGATGACACCCAACCAACTGAGCCACACCCAACCAACTGAGCCACACCCACCAGGGCTATAATGCCTTACTGTTAATAGGGAAGACCCAAGGATCCCTACACAGTAGGAAAAAACCTCTTGAGTGAAAGAGATCAAAAGAAAAGGCAAATAAACAGGCAATGGAAGGAGAAGAAAACAAAAACTAATGTGTAGTTTTAAAGATGAGAGAAGATATGTTATTGATGAAATCAACAATAGGATTCTATGTAAAAAATTCTCAGAACAAGGAAAAGCTCTTGAAAATTAAAAATATAATTGGAACTTAAAAAAAGTGCAATGGTGGTAGTATTGGAAAATAAATCTTAGAGAAAGTAGAATGAAAAGACAAAAAGATGTAAAATATGAGCGAAAAGACAGGATCAACAATAGTCTAAGAAAAAAATGGAGGGAAGGAAACTAAAGCACAAATCATGTATGAATATTAAATAGTCATGAAATGTTAAAAAAATAAAAATTTTTAAAAAATCCAGTGAAAGGAGGAAAAAAAAACCAGAGAGGAAAAAGTTTACATTATCATAAAACTGCAAAACACTTGGGATGAAGAATTCTTTAAAGTTTCTAAAGTCAGAGTCAGGTAGAACAAGTAACTTGTAAGAGAAAGGGAATCATAGTGGCATCAGATTTCTCAGCATGATTGGGAGTTAAAAATGGTGGCACACCAATTTTGAAGTTGAGTGAAAATAATTTCTAACCTAGAAATCTATACCTAGCGAAACCCTTATCATGTGTGAGAGAACAAAGACATTTCCAGGTATGAAAGGACTCAACAAATTTACCCCAAAGGCACTTTTTCGTAGGAAGTTACCAAATATGCTTCAACAAAATGAGGAAAGACTGAAAGAGGAAGACAGAGGATCCAGGTATGGAATCCAAGACTGGAGACAGGCAGAGGGAGTCCCGGGATGAGTGTTGTACACCAGGTCTAGACGGTACCCAGAGTCTACTGGAGGAGAACATGAGGAAGATTCTAGGTTTAAAAAGATGAACTGATAGATGGTCTGATGTGGAAAAAGTACTCTCAGAGTCAGAGCCTTTGGAATAAAATTAGCACTCAGTAATAGGAAATTAAGCAAATGAAAAGAAAAATAACCTGAGGCTCTTATTAACTACTTGAAAAACAACACTTGTATGAAATCAAATCATAGAACACCACTTGGCTCAAAAATAAAAAATGCTATATAGTTATAATAATGTTAATACTAACTTGAATTAACAGAATTATAATTGGAAGGGTGGAGACAAAGTTAGGGAAAGAGAACTAAAGCCTCATCTTCTATGACATGAGGTTAATAGGGAATGTCTACTATTTAATTAAAAAAAAAACAAACAAACACAGTACAAGCACCTCATTTAGAAATATGTAGTTAAATCCCAGTAGGAAAAAACCCTAATTTCCTAGTTGAGGCCATTTCCTAGCTGAGGCCGTTAGAGGGAGGGGTGCAGGGAGTGTGCGGAGGTGTAGGGGGGTGGAGGATGAGTAGGGACGCAGAACCACTTTTCTTTCTTTTCCGTTTTTAATTGGCCTCTTAGGAGTATTTGATGTTTGAACTACATGACTCTGGAAATAGAAATTTTTATTTAAATGTAAACAAGCTTCAGAACTAGCCAAACCAGGTATGTGAACAACCAGAAAGTATTAAGTCTTTAAAACTGAAAAATCTCCCTGGTCTGGGAATCAGACACCTGGGCTCCTCTTTAGGTTTACTGTTTATAGGTCAATGACTCCTTGATCAGGTTACTTAACCCTTGAACCTGCATTTTCTTATCTGCAAAAAAGGAGGTTATAATCTCTCCAGTGTCGGTGAGTCACAAGGTAAGTGTATAGTATTAACCACTGTCCGGCACCTTACAGTTAAAGGATATTGAGGGCTGGGCTGGGCCGGGCCAGGCCGGGCCCTGCCTGAGCTTACACGGGGAAGGATTTTTGGGTGTGCCTTACTGAGCAGACTGAGTGAACCGAACAGAGTAGCCTGATGGGGCCAGGGCTGTGGGTGCAAGCCATGCAAGACCCTTGTCCTGCAACCACTTCCTTACTGAGGTGACACTCAGCTCAAGGGCCACACTGAAAAGAGCAGGCCGGGCTCCACAAAGCAATGCGTTTTGTGTCAAAGCTCCAAGCGACACTGACTTCTTCAGCTACTTAAGAGAATCACAGGATGGCAGAGAAGAACGGGAAGGTCATGAATGCAACCTCCCACCTGATGTTTGTCTCCTTCACAGCCTACCCTCCTCCCAGCCGTTACCTGGACTCCCCTTGACCCCTCGGGGGACCGGGAGCGCAGTGTCCTGGGTCGGGCGAGGCTCACCCGCAAGAGTGTACGTCTCTGGTGCTAACTCTTTTTGTTGAGCTGGAGTCGGCCTCTCTGTAGCTTCCACGCTTAATTCGGGTTAAAGTTCTCTGGGCTAGAGGGCAAGTCTACACTCTTCTACCTGTCAGCCACCTCCCAGAAGTTAGGGACAGGTCCCTCACTCCACTGTTTATCCTTTCCACACTAACGTTACAGGACTTCCCTTAGAAACAAATGAAAAGATTGTATCGGGTTCACAGTGGGCCCTGTGACCTGAACACCGTGAAAGGACCGGGACCAAAGTGCACTTCTCGCGTATTCAGTCTCCAAACCCAGAGCGAGCGCCTTGTAGAGCCCCAGCGAAACTCCCGACACCCGGGCACGCGGACACCAACCGCGGCTCCGCGGACGGAAGCGCTCCCCGCCCCCCGCGTGCACCCCGGAGCCTGGGGGCGGGGCCCCGGGGGAGCCTGGCACCGGCCTTCCCTCCCGCCGTGGGGCGGCTGCCAGGCGAGTGCGCGCCGCCCGGGATCGGTTACCGCAGCCGGGCTGCCTGCCCACTGGCGGGTCTCCGAGGGCCCCGCCTATGGCGCCCAGGCGGCGCCCGTTCCTCGCTGGAGCCCGGGGACGGGCGGGGACTCACAAGGACTCCAGGTGCTTGAGCTGCTGCAGCTGCTGCGCGTCTTGTCGCCGCCGCTTCTGCTCCTGGCGCCGCTGCAGCTCCTGCTCCCGCGGCTCTCGCGCCCGCCGTGCGCTCCCGGCCCCCGGGTCGGCGTGCCGGGGCCGGGACGACATCGCGGCCCGCGCGGCTCAGGCGGCGACGAAGACGGCACTTCCTCCGCGCGTGCCCGCGGGTCACCGCAGCGCCCCCTTCGGCCGCCGCCCCGGTCGTCTCCCCGAGGCGCGGCCCTGAGTTCTGGCTCGCAGCGCCGGCCCGCCGCCTGGCCGGTTGAAGCTGGAGGTTGGATCGCGCCCTCTGGCGGCGGCTCGGGGGTGGGAATGCCGGCGGTGGGACGTTGGGAGTCCTTCCGGCCTGAGGACCTGTGCGGGCCATGCGGCTCCCTTCGCGTTGTTGTGATGGTTTAATAATACCAGTATTAAAAATTAATGCTTTCCATGATCATGAAATACTTTTATGTTTAATAAAAGTAATAGTTTAGAATTCATTTTTTAGTAGTAATGTGAATTCGTGATGATAAACAGGACCTTTAAAGCGTAAGCTAAAAACCATTGAAAAAAGTTTCAAGGTTGGCTATTGGCAGGGCATTATGCCTACACTGAATTTGAAAACAAAGATGTGAAGACCCTGAGAAAGAAGACAACTACCAAGAAATGGCTCTTGGTAGCTAACTGGGTTCACATTTAAAAAAGGAAAATGAAAATAGCAGCATTTCTTGGGTCTACCAGTCAAGGCAGGTTCAGGGAGGTTTTCTTTATTGGACCCGCCTCCTAGCGTGAACTGCCTGCGTGCACTGTGTGCCGGACATCTGAGCCAGTCTTCATAAGTGAGAGCCTGGAATCCTAGTTGCACCAACAGGACCGAGACTTTAACTGTCTTGTCAGAGCCGCACTCCTCTGTCCCTGACTAATTCGAGTAGCTCCATTCTGACCAATCTGCACAGTACTGTTTGGACCAATCAAACTGTGAGTCCTTATTTGCATGAGGATGGACCAGTGATGGATCAGGAGTAGAACTTTTTTTCTTTTTTTATTATTATTTTTATTTTGAGAGTGTTTTTATTAAGCCGGGGAACTGAAATAAAGAAGTGCCTAGAAAGCAACAGGAGAGAGACTAGGCAGGGCTGCTATAAGCTCACTGGACAGAGAAAAATGGGCCTTGGCAACAGGTCTAGGGTGTTAGCCGCGAAAGAGCTGCTGCCACCCATTGCTTCTCTGGTTGCAAGTCTTGCGGGGACCTTTAGAATTTGAGTTGAACGCCTGCGGGGGGAATAAGAGGTGGAAAGGAAAGGTGCTAGCATGCTCTTGGGACTTATTTCTATGTAGGTTAGCTCCCTTCTGGATTGCGGAGCGCTCTTTCCTTTCCCCCTGAAGGCTGTATTTCTCCTGATGGAGCTGAAGACATCTCATCGGTGCATATCCCAGGGCTGCCTCTTTGCCACAGCTGTGCTCCTTCATCCTTGAGTAGTAACATCACTGAGCTGTTCCACAGCTGTGATGTATCACAATTGAGCTGTTTGCCATGAATCAAGTTTCCTGCTGCACCGCACCCCCATTGGCGGATTCCTGTTGGTGTTGAATTGGCGCCAGTGGTCAAGAGATGAAGTTTGAAAAAGTGGCATTATTGCCATGTTTAATTGCAAAATCGAATACTTGCATACCTATATACCAGGAAATCCAGTCCAATGTATATATGAAAAATATTTAGCACATGGGATCAGGAGACATGTACAAATAACTTTACAGCAGTACTTTTTCTGCTAGGAAAAAATCTTACCCAGAAACTTTGCCCCACCGTCTCAGTGATCTTGGTCTTCTGACCCCTTCCCCACTCCCCACCCCCCGCAGACTTCCTCTTCAAGGTTTGCACGGGGCCAGCACCACCCTCATGCCCACCTGGGCTACTGCAGCACAGTCGGACAGAGCCTCGTGGGCCTCTTGCTGGAAAAGACGAGGTCGATCCCAGAGGGTTTGGTCCTCCGAACCCGGATCCTGAGGGAAGGCACGGACGCCCCGGCCCCGCAGAAAGCCTCACCCACGAGTGCGGACTTCGGCGGGTACAGAGAAGGAGCTGGAGGGCTGCACCCTGAGTCTGCGGCCGAGTCGGGTGGCGGATCCACTTCAGCGTGGAAATTGAAGAACTGTCAAAGACTGCAGAGGGAACTTTATTGTCTTTCTCTGCTAATGAGCACCAGGCAGTGGTTCATTCCAGCCCCGCCCAGGAGAAATCCGACTCCCCGCACCGCCTACTCAGAAAAAGACTCCACTTTCCCAGCCCCTTATCCTCCTTGGACTACAGCCCCCAGAAGGCATCGGGGCGCAGCCATCGGACTTGCGCAGTAGCCTCCGTTGTAAAGTGCTATGACAACAGGGCGAAGATGGCTTGGAGTTAGGCGGGAGCGGGGAGGTGTCCCTTCCGCCGCTGCTGTCCTTTCTCTGCTACATCTCACTCACTGCCTCCTTCTTCATCACGTCCTCTTCTTTGTGAGCAGCAGCTCTTGCCGTTGTTCTTGCCTGCCTGGTCTCTTCCAAGGAATCGATGCCGTTTTCCCTGCTTGTCCCCGGGGGTTCCAGAGAAGGGATGCAGAGGAGCTCCTTGGGGTGATCCCTCCAACTCTCTGGAGCTGGCGGTGCTCTTTGCCCGGGACGTGGAACGAGTTGGTGCCGGAGAACGAGAGGGAGTAGCGAAGTTAGGGTTGCTTTTCTTTGCAACCTCCGCTCTCGCTCTCGTCGTTCCAGCCTCGGGACCCTGGCAGGCGTCCTTAAAGGGAAATCTGCGGAAACAGTTCGAAGAAAGGTGGGGCAGGACCCACCTGATTCGGCATCAGGTAAGAAAGTAGGTGTGGTATTAAACATCAGGGGCATGGATTCCCTTTGTGAGTTCTGTTTTGTGGGCAAGATTGATCCTCTGATGCCATGTAATGGTTTTGGGGGATATAAGGTGATAGATTTTTTTAGGAAGGACGTTTGCTTTGACAACAAAACAAAACACAACTACAAGCACAATGTGTGTGAGGTCCTGTGAACATTTTCCAGAAAGGGTGGTGAGATTTTTTAAAGATTGCATTCGGGAATGTCACGTGAGGCATGAGCATCCTCCTGTGACACTTCAACAGGTCTTCTGAGCAAATGGTCAAAGCAGTGCTCAGCCTGGGACGGAAGTGGGAAGCATGCACTAATACCCTCTAATTCCTTCTTGCAATAGGATTATCGCTTCCCTTTCTCCCTATGCATTGCAGACCACAGCAGTTTCGGTGAACTGACCCGACTTTATTAGCATCTCCCTTCCCCTGTCAAGTCCTGAAGTTGCCTCACATTTCCTGGAGAAATTCAGTTTTTTTTCTATCTCACTTTTATGTAAAAAATGAAACCATATCACACACATTCCTAAAACTATGAGTCTGAACTAAAGTCTGCCAGCATTGAAAGAGGGAGAGATTTTTTAACTTACGAGAAATATGGAAATTGAGAATATGAGAATAATTCATAGATTTTTTTTTGGTGTATAGACTGAACCATTATTCAGAAGGATTAAAAAAACTTAAAAAATTTACAGAATATTTACACATTACTTATGAGAGTTTAAGGAATTTTTCATTTTGTGTAATTGTCCTTAAATTACAACTACACTTATGCTTATGGTGCAACTTACTGATGGAAACATCACTGAAGGGAAAAAAGTCCAATACCAGTAATATATAGTAATTTTAAAAGTTTTACACCCTTTAATATATGTAAACAAGTCTTATCTCTCAGAATTAAGACTTTCAAATATTTCTCAAAAAGTATTGAAACATGAATTTATAAAACATCTCTGCTTATTAACAACATATCTGTGAAAATTTGCTCTCAGTCTTTTGAACATCCCATTGAAAGTTCAGTCCAGAGGGTCAGATTGGCATGTGTAATTTTGTCTTGTTCAGAACACAATCCACCACCACCATTCTAAGTTACTACTGACATTTATCGAATGCGTTCTATGGGTTGGGTGCTGAGCTAAGCAGCTACACCTGTTAGGCCATTTTTATCTTCTCCCACCCAGAACAATTGGGAGACTGGAAGGTAAGGAGCTTGTCTAAGGTCACATTGCTGGAGTGTGGAGTCAGAAAGGGGACCCAAGACTCCCTCTACTGTGCTCTTTGCCTTTTGTGTCTTTTATTGAAAATTTCAACATTGAGCCCTTATCATATTGTCTTCAAAAGCAACATTCTTCTACCTCTATGTGCACCTGTCATCTTTCTTGGACTGAAAGACCTGATTCCTATTTTGCAGAACTTGAGGAGGCATTAGCATGACCCAGAGAAAGCAAAGCTCCAAATATGAACATGGGCAGTGTCAGAGTCTTAGCCTCCTAATTCCAGAATCTGCCATCCTTCCATATTATAGCAGTAGGCCAATGAGGTGTTACACATCTTAAATAAAAACTCAGTCTCAGTAAACTCTGTGTGGAAGATAATATGTATATAAGTAGGTATTAAAAACAAAAAAAGTGTCAAGGGATAAAAGTATGGAAGAGAATTTCTGGAGCTTACAGGATAAAGAGATTATCTTCTATTTATCATTCTAATGAGGTATACAGAATCAATCTTTTGTGGCCATTTATAGGTAGGCACCTGTTAAAATCTTCAAGTTATTGTCTTCTAATAATCCTTTAACAATTTAATTAAATGCATAAACTGCTTTTCTGCATTTTGAACTTGCAGGGATTAGAGTTACTCTGAACAGAAACAGCTGTTGGTCTTCATGGTGTGGCTCCACAGGTTTAGGTCCTGAACTAGACAGCCTGGTTTTGGGTGCTACTTCCACCACTTATTAGTTGAGACCACTTGGGCAGGTTTCTTAACCTCTCTCTATTCAAGGGATACCTGAATAATACTACCAATGATTTACTTTGTAGTTCTGTCAGGAAGATTAACATAGAATACTTGCAAGACACTGAGAACACTGCTGGGGATGTAGTCAACAATTAGTAAATTTTAGTTATTTGTTTCCTTTCCAGGGAAGGGAGATGATGGACATTGAAAACCTGAGTTCTGGATTTTGTTTTTCATTTGCTTAAAAACAGAAAGTCACTGAGGAGCTGGAACTCAACAATGAATGAATAGGAGATAAAATATGAATTCTTGATTCTCCTTTTAAAAAAAGTTTTTGTTTATTTATTTTTAGAGAGATGGCAAGAGAGAGAGAGAGAGAGAGAGAGAGAGAGAAAGAAACGTCAGTTGGCTGCCTCTCACACACCTCCAGAAGGGGACCCGGCCTGCTACCCAGGGTGCACCCTGACTGGGAATCGAACCAGGGACCTTTCTGTTTTCAGGCCGACGCTCAATCCACTGAGCCACACCAGCCAGGGCCTCTTGTTTCTTCTTTTTATTTAAGACAGTTAACTAAACCAAGTAAAAGTCAATTTTATACATAATTAATTTTTCTGTTATTTGGAATACTTTTTGTTTTTTTTAATAACAAAACCCAAGTTTCGTGATTGAAAAATGCTATTATTATTTTTATCTTCCTTCTTCCCAACCTGCCAGTAAATAACCTCCTCTCCCTGCTGCTTACCTTAATATCTTAAAGTCAAGGCCTGTATTTTTTTGAGCTTGGAAAATGAATTAACATTTTATTTAAGTCTTAATTTATGGTTAGTTTTTCTTTCTCTCAATGTGGTGGTGGTTCTTCCAGGAGGAAGGGTAAAATTTATCTTGCTAACCTTCTCAATTTAATGCACTAACCATTGTTCTTCTGATAGACTGGGAATTGCAACCAAAATATGGGAGTATCCTACTTTAAAAAAAGGGAAACTTTATTTTATTATTTTTTATTATGGGAAAATTTAAACATAAAAACAAAGAATAGTAAAACCACCTCTCATGTATCTGACACCATTTACTCTTAAAAATATGAGCCTTATTGAAACAAAATTCATATACTATACAATTCACTCATTTAATAGGTACAATTCAGTGTTTTTTTGTATATTCACAGCTATGTGTGACCGTCAGTTGTACTGCAATTTTTGAATGTCTTCATCATTCCAAAAGGAAGCGTCCACCCTTCCGCTATAACTCTCCTGTGCTCTCATCGCCATCCGACCTAAGCAACCACTGATTAGTTACTTTCTGCCTCCATAGATTTGCTATTCTGTACACTTTATATAAATGGAATCATACAATATGTGGTCTTTTGTGACTGGTTTCTTTCTCTTAGTATAATGTTTCCAAGGTCCATCCATGTTGTAGTGTGTCTCAGGACTTCATTCAAACAGGGATATCTGGTGACCTTAAGTTGTTCAGATGTGCTATCAAACCCATCTTTAAGGCAGAAGTGGAAAGGAACTCCCCTTTGAAATCTATTGCCCTGCAGCGAAGTTGTCATTTTAAAATTCACCAATTTTTGGAAAGGAAACCAATCGTATGCCAACAGAGCACAGATGAGCATTTGTGGTTTCTCGTTTTCTTAGGAGTAGGCATTGCATCTTCCTTTGCCTCTGCCTTTCAAGTCAGAGAGAACCTAAGGAACTAGTACTGGGCACTAACCATCAGCCCAAATTGTTGGTCTTCCTGTTCATTAACTTTTTAAAGATAGAAGTCCTTATGTAATAATTATTGTTCACAATGGTACACCATACCACTTGGGACATGGGGAACCAATATGAAGAATCTGGATGTAATGCAGTTTATGCAGCTTTGCTATGCATTATCAGGGCTTTGCCCTGGGGTAAAAGTCAGTGGATTGAAATAATTAAGGCAGCTGTGGTCTTGTGAGGAAGAGCCATTTGTTGGACCTGTGTTTCGAATTAGCATTGTCCCCATGTCCTTTTAAAAATTAAAATAAATTAGGTCCTTGCTGGATCGGTTAGCGTGTCGTCCTGATATGCCAAGTTTCCAGATTTGTGATCCCTGATCAGGACATCTACAGAAATCAACCAATGAATGCATAAGTAAGTGGAACAACACATCAATGTCTCCCTTTCTCTCTCCCTTCCTAAAAATCAATAAATGAAAAAAAATAAAAATTAATATAAAGCAAAACAAATAAATCCTTTTACTGACCCATGCTTTTTCAATTAAATTTCAGTAAGTGGCAGTCCAATAAGATAGGCATCTAGAGACCAAGGAGTGGTTTGCTGAAGCAAGTTTCTGCCATTAGTTGAGTGATCTAGGAGAGTCATAGCTTCTTTGGGTCTTTCCTACAGAATGAGAGGATCAACTCATTGATAGATGCCTTCTAGCTGTTAAAGCTTTGAGAATTGAAAAAATAAAACTCCTTTTCAAGCTTTGGAAAGGTAACTGGTGGCAGATGTCCCAGGAAAAAGAAAGGGGGGAGAAAGAGCCCTCGTATGAGAAAACATCCACTTAGGCTGTCAGCTAACAGTTCAGCTAGTGCTTTTCAAATTCGAAGGTGCACGTGAATCACCTGGGAAGCTGCGTGGGGCAGAGCTGAGGTTCTGCGTTCCTAACAGGCTTTCAGGTGATGCTGATGCTGCTAGTCCAGGCGCTGCAAGGAGAGGACTTTCAGAAGCCAACAAAGTGCTGGATGATGAAGGAGACATCAGCGGAGCAGGAGAAACAGAAAGGAACTCAATGTTGCCCATGTTATTTTTTTAATCAGGATTGGTCTTTAATTTTATGATAGAAGACCATGAGAAATTACTGCATGATGTAGAACATTTCTGCTTACAATGTTGGAGAGTTAGTTTTTACATTGCAGATTTTTCCCCCTTTATTCTAGGAAACTAAAACAATTGATTGACTAACAAAGGTTTTTAAGGTCATTTTCGCATAATAGCTATTTTCACTGGACCCAGTAATGTGTGTTTATATTCCAACTGCAG